TTTGCGGTGCAGGTCATCCTTGAGTACTTGATTTCATCGGCAGATGTGCCGCCGTTAGAGACATATGCAATTTGTGAAGTGCCGCCCGGATTGTTTGAACTCGTGGGCAGAATATGGGATGAACCCATCAACAGAATCCCCACTCGTGGACGATGGTGACGCATATTCTTGGCTGTCCGAGAGGTTATTTAATCGCTTCGCTCATTCCGCCGGCCCATACAGTCTCATGTCTGCCGTTTGCCCGAGGGCCTGGTGTCAATGCGGCGCTTTGGGGGTTCCTGGGGCCGCTTGGGGGACTCCTGGGGCGCTCGGGGGGGCATTTGGGGGGCCTCCTGGGGCCGCTTGGGGGACTCTTGGGGGCCTCCTGAGGGCCCCGTGGGGGCCTCTTGGGGCCTCTTAGGGGCCTCGTAGGGGCTTCTTAGGGCCGAGGGCTCGAAATGTTGTTTCGTGTTCCCTCTCTGGGGCCCCTTTGGGGGCGTTCTTGGGGCCCTCTTGGACCGTTTTGGAGGCTTCTTGGGCCGTCTTCGAGCCCTCTTGGGCCATCTTGGGGCCCTCTTGGGTGCCTCTTGGGCCCTCTTGGGGCGATCTTGGGGGCCTCTTGGGCCGTCTTGGGGCGTCGGGAAGCCGAAAAGGTGGAAGCTCCAAAATCTCTCAAAAACCTATGGAAAAACAATGATTTTTGCCTCCGGGGGCCCTATTGGGAGTGCTCTTGGAGGCCTCTTGGGGCGTCTGGGGGCTATCTTGGGCGTCTTGGAGCGATCTTGTGGCATGTCGGACCCCTCGTGTACCATCTTGGGGGCCTCTTGGGGGCCTCTTGGCCTTTCTTGGGGCTCTCGGGGACGTCTCGGAGCCCTGTTGGTGCGCTCATGGAGCGCTCGGGGGGACCCGGCCGGGACCCGGCCGGGACCCGGCCGGGGGCCGGGGACCGGCCGGGACCTGGTCGGGGTACTTTTCGTCCGGGGACCCCCAGGGGCCGCCCCGCGCGCGCGAACTAGAAAATTGTTAACCAGTTACCGGAGATCTTAGCACGCCTCTGGCCCGTTGGGCCGACGCATATTCTTGGCTGTCCGAGAGGTTATATACTTATTCATGGCAGAGGGGCTTCATGTTGCATTTCCAGGTTATGAAGTACAAAGAACCTCGACTGACACGGGCGCCACCCGTGATGAGAAATTGAGAGATGCATATGCCTTGGACTGCCGGATCAGATCTGCGATTGAATCGTTCGATTTGATTCGTGATTGGACCGACGGCTTAGGAGCCGAAGTTTCGGGCGCTGCCAGACGATGTTATACAGAGATACAGCTTGCCATCAATTCCATGCAAGCGTCTGCTCAGATTCCTCTTGATGTCAGAACTCGTTTGGCCGTCAGTCGTTTTGGCCCTTTAGATGCTGACAATGCCATTGGTCTTATAAATTGTGTAATGGATCCGACGGAGGGGGGCAGGATAGCCGACCCTCCTCCGGTGGCCCCACAGCCTTCTACAGATTCTGTGGCTCCTCCAGCTGAGGCCAAAGCCCCGAGCGGCTCTGCCGGTTCGGGGTGGAGTGTCCAGCGGAATGCTCGAGCGCCATCGAGACTGAGGGCTGGTTGGACTGAGAGGCAAGCCTCTAGGCCTGCCCCCTGCAATCCCGTGCCCACCGGCTCAGCCGCGTCGGGCAGTAATACCGGGTGGGATGATCGAGATCGGACCCGTGCGTGGGCCGATGACCCCGTTGCCGAAGTAGGCGGCCGCGCGAGCGATGGCGGCGGGGGCCCGATGCAGGACTACTCTGACATGAGCGACAATGGAGAAATTCCGGGGTATTTCGTTCACGTGACTCGTCGTGGGCACATCGCGAAGAGCGCTAGAATTTGGAATTGGTTCAGCGTGAACGACTACAACTACATATTCAATCGTGATCGTGCCTTGCCAGAGCCACCGCCGCCACCCACGCCGAAGGCGAGGCCGGCGGACAAGGGCAAGGGCAAGGACTAGTCAGATTGCTGGAGTACCAGCAGAGGAAGAGAGAGATACGATAGTCGCCAACGAGACCGGTATCGATGGAACTGGCGCACCAGTGACGATTGGAATGATTTTCGAAGCTGGGGCGAAGATTTGTGCATGTGAGCGTGCGCCAG